TTATACATGTCAATGAATCCTATCGATAGTCATCGATTGCGAAAGATAGATGACAAATTCATGAGGTCTTTATCGAGAGTTGTTATCTTGTATTGGTTGATTCATGAGTCGACCAGGTTACACGAGAGGTCAACAAAGTAGCATATAGTGCCATAAGTAGCTAGAGTACACACTGGCTTGAAAATAACAACTGTCGCTAATAGAACGCTCACATGGATCGTGCCGTATGTTCAAGTAAACCTTAATAAGTTGATATTAGAAGATAACTGATGAATCATTATCTCCTAATATAAGTAAGCAATACAGATTTGATTGAAAGTCATGTTAATAAACCTAAGTATTTTATGAGAATCTTGGCAGCAAATAACCTAAAAAAGAATGAAAACAAAAAGATTTCATACAGAAAATTTGATAAAGGAAACCTGTTATTTCCTATGTGCATAAAATAGTAATTAAAAAAATAATTAGTTAACTAAAAAATAATAGAAATCTGTTACTGTAGGAGAGCCTTATAGGGACGCCTTGACCAGGGTGGTACCACGACCTCACAGAAATCCGATGTTAAGCAATTTCTTCGTAACCCTCATAGGGCCAACAAAACTGTGTCTCGTGAATTTCAAGTCTCCATGGGCCAACCTATTACCATCAGGTGACTCGTTTGCTTGTTTGCTCTCTATACCGTAAAACATATAAGTACACAATTGAATAGAAAACTTAAGGGTTACCTATTTCCGATTCCTACATCGGAAATAGGTAAATAATTTTCATTCATCTAAAGTAACAACTATTTGAAGACCAGACGGAATCATGTACGACACATATATCAAATAGAAATACAATGCATAAAATCCAAAAACCAATTCGAATAAGAAAAGTAATATATGGCAAACATAAAAAAGCTCTTAGCTATATATGTCGTTTTCACAAAAAAGTATGTATCACTTGAAAGGCAAGGCAAGCATTTAGATGTTATGGTGGAATAAAAACTTACATGTATACAACAACGACATAAACTTTGAAAACTTAATACCCTTTAGAGTAGTTGTGAAAAAGTTTAGTAAAGTATTATAAAGGGTTTTTATTTTGCATTAGTGTCAACGTATAATGCGCGTTGATATCTTTTCCAAAGGAGATTTGTTTGCAATACTCGTAGTTATAAGCAAATTCATCAGATTAGTTATATTTTTTTTTTGTGACATATGGTTGCTAGATATATCTACATACTACCTGGTAGTCAAAATAGGTAATTATTCATTTTTCTTTGGTTCACTTCCTTGTCACTTGACCATGAAAAATTAATTTATGTACTGGAGGTGTGTGGTTTGATGTCAGTTCCAGGTTTCTGTTTCGTAACTCTCCGTTCTCTTTCTTTAATTAATCTACGCTACTACGTGTTAGTATACTACTAGCTCTTGCACACGGCTGCGTTCGCATGATTGTTTCTTATTTCGTGTTTCTAATTTTGAAAATGATGAACTTCCATTCAACCGTTCACCGTGAATTTAAAAAAAATCCTGTCTCAGTGGGTGCTTACAACATAAAAAGTATCAACTGCCAAAAAATTAAGTTTGTATCTTCAGCTCTGCGTTGATGAATCAATCAGTCAGGGCAAGTGATTTTATATGATGAATATTTGTATTTACCTTTATCCTAGACATGTGTACGAGTATGTATACCATCATCACATCAAGAGTCTTTAATAGTCATCTGTTGGACATGGGGGCCTTTCCATAGAAAGGAAGTTTTGGCCTACTATACCACGAAAACCAGAGGAGTCGGTATAGGGTTAGTTTCAAGTTTTCCTTCTTTTTGCATTGCTTATGTCCTGCTTAGTTTGCTCCATTAGTCGCCTCTTACGACACTCATGGGATGAATAGTGACACTCCGTGTTGTTAATATCTTCACAATGTGCAGATTTATTGTAAATCTAGAAGAATCAATTATAAATAGACCTTTTAATAGATGCAGTGAAATTTTATACGAGTATAATTACGTTTATTTGTACATTGTATACATTAGATGTAATTTTTGTTTTTTCAGATTTTCCTTTTTAGCAAAACAAATAATTAATAAACCAAAACAATAAAACAGTAATGAAATAAAATATGACAACCTATGTTTACTTGGCACTTCACATCACAAGGTCCGTCACAGATGTAGCTAAATAACAAAAGGACATGTAAATTCACGTAGCTAGTATAATGGTACATAAATCTTATAAATTTGTAATAGGCAGATAGTTTTTAACCACCGGCGCAAATGGTGTTAAGTGTGTTCCTGGGAGTAGTTTGGGGGCCTTTTTAAATTTGTAATGGCACTTTATTTACTATTAAAATGAGTGTTTCTTTGGCTGGTGAGTAGAGCTAATAGAAAAATCTACCTAACTACTATAGTCGCTCTAAGTATTTATAGGAACCGTAATCTTTCTGGTGGTATTTTTTCAAATTATATTTTATTAATTATATAATCCTTTATTATGACTTGTGAATCTGTGTATTTGAAGTTGCAAGTATTCGGCATACTTGCAAATAATATTCTGAGAAAAGTTCTATCACACAGAAAAGAATTTAAAATTATTTTAGTAAACACATACCTATTCATCATGCAAGCTCCTAGATCAATACAAATAGGCATTTTCATGCATAATTTTTTTTTGTTTTTACATGGAGCGGGCACTGACCTGCTTGAGCTATGGCGTACAGATCCCAATACATTATAAGCAATATCAAAAATTTTCCCATCTAGTTCTTAAATGCTCGGTTGACGCCAATAAGCTTTCTCCGTGTTACGTAAGTGGAAATAAAATTATATTTGGCATGCAATATGCTTCAGTCTACTGTGTGTTGCACTTTAAGTGATTTGCAAAGATAAAATCAGTTGGTTAGTAGTAAGGTATATTGATAATCGCATTAAATTGATTATGTACGGACAGAGGTAGCTTATATAATTTTATTGTTCTCATGAGTTGATTGATTGTTTGATTGATTAATGTATTTTAAGTGTGAGATTTCAGGTATATCAAACTAGTTATATTAAAATACCATTGATTCAAGATTAGTCTGTTAATTTCTAAATTTGGTAAAAAATCTAAACGTGCGTTTATAACACTTATTACTAAAAACCTGTAATTTATATGATATGATTGTTCCCTAGGGATTATTAGATTGAGATTGAGATAAAAAATATAGGTCGTGTTCAGAACAAGTACTAAGTGTCGATAAATATTGCAAGTGTTTCATGGACTGTCATTCAGATTCTGTCATTGCATGATCTCACAAACACACTTTTACCGCCTGTTACTCGTAATGTCAACTGCTACAAATTTTTAAATAATTTTATTAGCATAGCGTCTATTAAAAATTAACTGAATGTATATAATTTACTACAAATTTTAAATTGAAAATACCTTAACTATAAATAAATAAAATTATTGGCGGGAATTAAGTCGTTTTTTTTGAGTTATGGTTTTGAAGGTAACAACTTGGTTGCGAATATAAAATAATAGCATTCGATCAATTTTTTATCAAAAAACAATCTCGACTAATATGTTAAAAGTTAGGGTCAACGTGGTGGTGACGTTTTTGTAGAATTGAAAAGGATTAAACTTATACCTTATATACCTAATAACAGTTTAACTTTACTAAACTAAATTTCATTTTCATACTTTAACTAAATTTCACTTGTGGCAAAAATATCATGTATCTAATACCATTCTCATAAACATTAAAATAAAGTTTATTTTTTTAAATCGAGATTATCAATTTGGTTTATGTTGTTTTTATTATATCAGTTTATATGTAAGTATTACATACAAATTACAAAGGTGTCAGTCGCTAAATAGTGGTACACCACTATATTATATGAAGTTGGTGAAGACTGGTATCTCTATTCATTCAGCGAAATAGTTGCACTGGATTGATCACTGAGCTTATTCTTCATTCATTTTTGCATTCATTCAGGTGACAACATAATGAATATATTGTATAAGTTCGACATAGTAAAGAGCATAAATATCAAGCTCTTAATCTTACCTATTAACCATCAGGTACGGTATTGGGTCTAGATGAAACAAGGCTTTCATAATCTTAATATAACGAATCCAGTAGGTTGTAACATAATTAATCATATAGGTTCTTGTCGTAACATCACTGCATATTATTTATCTAAGGTTCCCATACAATAATACGCCGATAGCTATCTACTACTTTGTCTTAATAAACTACCTGTTGGTGAGATTAGAGCAAGGTGAAATCGATAAAGCAAATAGTATACCAATTGGTCTTGATTAACGTCAGTTTAAACAATGACAGCTGGCAATGAGGTTGAATTGCTCTGCGTATAACCTGATATTGGGTTACAAGTTACAACACACTCCTTATAGTATTTTGATTTCTATATAATACATTTATGTTTTGATATACTATTGTTTATTTACCATCAACTTCAAGATAAAATCTAAAATCCATATAAGTACAAAGTATACTTTTTATCCTGAAAAAGTAAGCAGAAGCATGTGACGCCTAGTATTAGTACTCGTAGTATTGTACCGTAGTATTGTAGTAACTAACTGATGCCGTTTAACCCAAAACTCAGACCTAGAACTTTTACATACTATTCTCCCTACAATACTGCAGTCCATAATAATATTAGTATTATAGTGAGAAAACGCCGCCTGGAGCACGTTAAGCCGTAGGTTTCAGTGGCCATACAAATATCTGTGCTGGGCCATAAAAGTGCGACAACGGTCTTTCTACAGAACTTCGAGAACGCCTCTTACCTACTTGAGTTGTGGAGGTCTGACGGCAGTCGCTCCGGGTAAAAAATTGATGTTCATCGTATCGTAGTAGACTTAAAGCCGATCTAAACCTAGTTTAGCCCGTAGGCAAATTGAAGTTAGAAATGAGAGACGGAGTTGATTAGGCTTAAACTGTCAACTATTCACGATGTCCTAATTAATTAATGTAAAACGCTATTTTGGAAAGAAAATAATTTGAACTCACCAACTGATCCCCAATCAGGATAGGCTCTATTGTTGAACCAACCATCGTAACGCTGTTTTTCGTAATACACCTCTGAAACAAAAAAGACGTAAAGTTTAAACTTGTAATTTCATGATTCTTCGATTCGTATTTTCATGCAAAAAAGTTAGTTAGTTTTAATAATTGCTGCCTAGAATAGTTAAATAAAAAAAGCTCATTGTGTGACTCAAAGTAGTCGTCGGTGTCACAAATGTATGCTATGTAATAAAATTCTATGTTATATAATTGTACATAGCTAAATAATTTATTATATTATTATTTATTTAGATTGGGAATTCTTAGTTTACCACCGATGTACAAGATATTTGTTCTAGCAATAGATATTATTCAAAATCAGTAGTAGCATCAGTAGCCTTAATCCTACACCATCTTAATTAATCCTGTAATGCTGCTTAAAACAATAATTGTACAGTTGTATTTTTCTATTACATATTAAATTATAATCAATCACACCTCTGTGGGTGGTTATACTGAGCCTCATTCAATGTTTAAGAATGTTTATTGGTTGACATTTTAATTAAACCTTAAAGAGTTAGTATGTAGCAAAGTGGCAGTCTTGTTTCTGCGGATGGTTGTACTAGTTACGTGGTCGTGCGTTCGTGGCCTTGCACTGTTCTCAGTAACCGAGATGCATTGCAAATGAAGGGCTCGCATTCAGAGCTTACAAGAGGTAAACTATAATATCATCAAGAACTTTACAGATTTCGTTTCATTCGGTTTTAAATTAAGTTATAAGAGCTTACGAATATGTATTTGACAATTGTAACAATAAGCTTTATAATTGACAGAGATAGAGAGATACATATATATATAGAATAGAAAGAGTAGCAATGAAACAACATGACTTGATTAGGGACAAATAATAGGTAGTGTTTTATCCTATTTTCTTATTGCACATGTTTTTATGAATGTCCTTGGTTACATAAACATGTGTTGATTTACATAAACATTTTCGTTATATTGTAGTGTAACCTACACTACAATATAACGAAAATGTTTAATAATCATAATAAATGTTAATCAAAATATACATACATTTGTACAAAAACTCAAGATCTTACTAAATATGTTACCAGTACTTTTCAAATTCCAGAGACATACACAATTTATAAACACACATACATACATAAACCTACATACATTTAATAAAATATATCAATACTCAGTCGGGTACTAGCGTTGTAACTGTTCTGCCAATTCACTACGAAGAAGATCGCGCACTTTTCTCTTGAATGCAAGGCGGTTTGTGGACATCCAGATTTCGGCAGGGAGGGCATTCCAGAGAAGAACTGACTACACGTAGAGTTGATGAAGTTGGACGTGTGAGGGAGCATAAAAGAAGCATATTGTTGGTTGATCGAAGATTTCGGTCGTGATTGAAGCATAAGAAACGGAAGTGGGTACGAGGTAACGATGGAGAGTTGAGGAAAGAAAAAAGAGAAGTCAGTGCTCGTAAACTGCGGCGCTGACGAATTGGGAGCCAATGCAGCTGGGAACGTAAAGCAGACACGTGGTTATTGCGAAGATTGTAAACGAATCGAATGCAGTTATTGAGAAGGCGATCTAGTTTATTGAGAAGTTTTGCATTCAGGTCGAAATAACACACATAACCATAGTCGATCAAGGGAATAATTAAGGACTGCATAAGCGTAGCCTTAGTTTTAAGTAGAAGAGAAGGAAGTTCTATAAACTATATAAAGCACGGAAACATGTGGTGACTTTCTGGCTAACGTGTGTAACCTGTGCCCGCCAGTCAAGTGTCGGATCGATATATAACCCCAGGTTCTTTACCACTGCACTAAAAGGTATAGTCATATTGTTGAAGACAACTGGGGGGATGACCGCCATATCCAACCTACTTTTTATTTGTTTGCTCCCTACGACGATGACTTGACATTTGGTTTGATTTACAGACAAACCAAACCTCGTTGACCATCTCTTTATAAGGTCCAAGTCTTTGTTGACTTTGTCGATACCGTATGTTATGTCCTCAACCCGTGACTGTGTGTACACTTGTAAGTCATCAGCTTACAGGTGGTACGTACACTGAAGGTGCTGGGTTATGTGATTATTGAATATTTCAGAATATTTCAGAAGTTTTCAGTCATGTAATTCTACGTTTTAAGTAATAAAGTATTCTGTACATTAATTATTATGAACTTTATGAGTCTATTTTGTACTATGTATTGCATGCAGCAATAAATATCGAGAATCAAATGTTTCATTAATTTGTAATAAAATTAATCTTAAGTAACGACCTATGCTTCAATAGTATAGCGACCTAAGCTTTAATATCATTTATGCTCTAAAACCATAACATGAAACAATCTAACCATGAAAATTTATGATTTTTATTGGAAAAGCCATGAGCAACTTCATAATAATATCTGTGATCATTAAAAATTACAAATCATATAAAACGCACAAATATATTGGTGATGACGTTCCCTTAACAAATTTAAATTAATTAATTACATAACAAATGTTTACTCACTACCCTAAAATAGGCACAGCACAGCACACAAATATGAAGTGAGGGTTAAAAGGAATAGGTGTGCCAAACGAGTTATTTACTTATGTGGTAAATAAAGAATGAAAGGCAACCGATACAGGCATTCGACACACTTGTCGTCTGGGCACCTGCATACATATTTTTTTGCTAAATGTATATTTCATGAGCAATTTATATTGCAATCATACTTGAAAAATTGTTTTAAAATTATGTCAATGAAATAACTGATATTAATTGCAGCAATATTGCAATATTGATTAATATATAGACAAAGTTTACTGTATTATAAAATAAAGATAATGCATGACTAACAATTTTTAAATAGTTCAAGTACCTACCAGCATAACGTTCTTTTGTAAATTAATGCCGACCACCTGAGGCGCTTTTAGACCATATATGCATGTGGATGGCTATATTTTATCAAACTCTAAGTACTAGTTTTTATGACCGATGCTATACTAAGATAATTTGATCATCATCTAATCAGTTTGATCTCTGAAGGCAATACCTAATTGGAATAACCTCTTTAAAGTATTGCTTCACAATGACAGAGGCAGTACATCACTGATGTTACTAACTCTTAATATTTGAATTCGACCGATAGATTGGCTCACGATCCAATCATGCGTAATGGTATGTGTTTAAAGTAATAAATTGAACACACCGAGTGGTTGTATATATGTCAATAATTCCAGTCTCGGTACAGGTGTGTAAATGGAAAATCAATAGACAAGCGATGAATGATGAATTGAATTCTGTACCGATGTAACATAGAAGTAACGTTAAAATAATTCAATAAATACAGATTGCAAGGTTAATAAATCACTGGTGAATCTATAAATGTACTATATAAGGTACCAGGTATACATTTTTATGCCTGCCTAATTAAATTAAATGCTTATCTAGGAACTTATATCTAGACAGGGAAAGGTTATACATACACGAAAGTAAATGTAGATGTGACAGATAAACATAACGAATCAGAATCTGTCACTGACTAGTGTTTGATAGGCAGTGGGTGTGACAGTATACTGATATCTCAATTTGTGGGCGATCCGGTTTCGTAAGTATAAGGAATGCGGCGTCACAATCATATGCCAATAACGTAGTCACTTTGAAAGCTTTAAAGAGTATATCAAACCGAGTGCGAACAGGCGTGTGACATGTTGAATAGACTGGTTGTGAAGTATAGTCCTGATCAAACATTTAAAATCGTACTCAGATATTACCTCACCCTCATAGATAAAAACTTCAGTAACATAATCGGAATTTAGTGACATTAAGGATCTAAATGTCGATCAACTACTTGTGGATTTCACAAACATTATAACTATAACATTAAATAAAATGAAATACAAACAAACAGTTAAACAATAAACTCTTTGTTAAATGCATAAGCGCGCTCTGATTCAGAAAAACAGGAAAGAAATATGTTTCATATAATTTTTCATTTTTTTATAATACAATTTTACAATTTTCTTTTTATTTGGCTTCTTTAAATATTATGTAATTGTGCAAGGTAAAGATAAAAAAAAATCGTGAATCGGTGCTTGGTGATAATTTCCTAAGATCCAATAAAATACAATACTTGACCTTAGTACATTCGCGATATTCGTTGCAGAAATGAAAATATCTACTTAAATGTTGGATTTATTACAAGAACGTATTATCCTCTAATGACTCTAATGACCCTCTTGATTTAGATGGCTAAAAAATATTCGTGATGGCTGAATGAACCGTTGGATTCAAAAAAGTAAATCCGGTACATAAAGAGGGCAATTAATTTAATCGTTCCTTACGTATACGTGTCATGTTTTTGCACTAATAAAAGGTTTTTTCTATAAAATGAGATCATGTAGCAAATTCCTATTATAATCACTTCTTTTTTACAGTCACGTTGTGTCTTAATAACGAATACATTTGCTGAACATTTTAAGCCCAAATAGCCAAAAATGGCAATGAATCGTTAACCATATCTAAGAGTAAGTAATTTATTTAAGTTATAAAGTACCTACAGCGTAAAATATTTTCTGAAGTACGAGTATCTTTGAGGGTTAATTACTGATGACCGGCTACGTACTAGAAATATTATTGGATACCAATGAAGCCTATTAATTACTGACTAGCTTCTAAGCCGCGATACTTTAAATTGTAATACATAATTATATTAATACCAGTTAATACAACAGACTGGCTATTTCATGTGAGCAATTTTACTGTCGTTAGTAAGTAGTTTTTCTTAAAGCATATGAGGTACACTTCTTTTCTGTTCTGATGAAAATGTGGTTACAACATTTCATGATCATCTCTTGAGTAGTTAAGACGTGAAATCGTAACAAATAAATAAATGCATTTATGTACGTTTTTTTTAAATGCATTGCTAGGGATACAGATAAGGGCATGGGGTACTTTTCTTCCGCTAAAAAGTACTGTTACCGAGAAATGGAAAACTACGCGAACCGAGCCGCGGGGACAAATTAAAGTTTATAATGTAAATTAATAAGTATTTGAGACTTGAGGT